ATATAGTAAGAGCAAGGTCCGGGTTGACGTGGAGAAAGTGAAACCCTATTACCTTTCTCTCATTGAAAAGGTAAAATTGGCCTAATCCTATAACCCACTTAACAAATTATTAATGTTGTTGTTAGACGAACCTGATCGTTAAACAACGACAATTTTTCAAAATAATTTTAGAGTATAATTTTATAAAATATGACTTGTCGATTCTCAAGCAATTGACTTAACAACAACATTTGTGATCTGAATATAATTAATTTCTCAATTTTTGAGCCTAATTTTTTTGTTTCTCCATTTTTGTGGCAGTATTTTCCTGCAAAGCTAAGATGGTGAAATGTTGATGGGGTGGATGCCTAAGGAGTCGGTGCATTAGTGTTTTTGCCAGCGTGTTATTACGAGTGAGAAAAAACTAGAAGCAATATTAGTGAATGAGTTTAAATTCATACTATGTAAAGTAGGTTGTATGTATTAGTATGAATTTGCTACATAGTCATGTATGTATTCTCTGGCTTTTGAAAATAATGGAATATAAGATCCACTTTAAATCTTTTATTTGTTTTCAACTTTTTATAGAATATAACATTAAAATAGAATTGATAAAAAGCCTAATCAACTTGATTTGATATAAGGAGTATTTTTTTTGTTTGTTTGTTTGTAATTCTTAGCTATAAAGTTTCCATTAGTTTATCAAAATCATAGTTTTACAATCGGAGAAGGGATTGACCCAGGTTGGACTCCGAATCACCCGATCACTGGTTTAATTGTGAGGTCGTCGGGTCAATTGTTGAACCGAGTAATTAATTTTATAAATTATATTGATATTATTTTTTCTTATAACTATACAAAATATAATAAACAAATTATTTATACGTAAATTTTATACCCAAAAGACTTAATAATATTGTATTTTGCCATAAATGTCTGTCCCATAAATATATACATAATTTTATTTTACAAAATAAAAAGATAATAAAAAAATATTTAATGGTCGGGTCAAACCGAGTTGGCCCTACTCGGTCAATACCCGGGTCGATTGGGTCAATGCCGAGTCGACTTGATATTATAAGTGAATCAAACTATTTATAGGAATACATATCTTATTTTTAAATTTGAAAAATGTTTAAGTAATAATCATGTACATAGAGGTGTACATAACACTCACATGAAGTGAAACATTAAGACTCCTATAAATAGTTTGCTTCACTTATAAAAAAAACTAATTATATTCCCATAAGCCACGAGAAAAAATAAAATAATTTTTTTTTTTCGAAACGATAGATTGAATAACTCGGCAAACAAAATACAACGTTTGTACATCTCGTGGACCAACTGGTCCAAATCCTCCTCACAGGTAAGGAAAGCCCAAGGGCACAAAATCAACTAACCAACACAACTACACAAAACAAGTTTGAAAGATAGTTAGTGGCAATGTCTATCCAATTGAATCCACTAGCTATTCCCAAACTTGGCAACAAAAAGGGGTTCAACTACTGCACAAGATGGCCTAAATGAACCCCCAAGAAAAATACATCAGCAACATCAAAATACATACTAACTGCTGGTCTAAAAACAAAGGAAACAGAAAGCAACTATTAACTAACAAGTAACAATCATATGATCATCAACCAACCAAAAGGATAGAGCTTGTCTCCTAACACAGCTGCAAACTCCCTCCATTCTCTTCCGGCAAGTTCAACGACCTCTCTATTCCCCATCCATTCTTTTTTAAAGACCCATAAGTTCCTAGCTTTCCACAACCACCAAAGGATGTATGTGGAAAGCTGTATTCTTGCTTCAGAAATTGCCAATTTGTTGATGCTACAGACTTTAATCCACCACTCTTGAAAGCAATCAATGTATGAGTGCAACCCATCCCAAGATACCTGAGCAAGTCTCCATATTCTTTTAGCTCTTCTACACTCAAAAAATAAATGCTCAGCAGTCTCAGGCATTTCCACAGCTTTGACAGATACAATCAATTTCCATCCCTTTCTTGATTAGATTACAGCTAACAGGCAGAGTGTTGGTGAGGCATCTCCACAGGAAGTGCTTTAATTTTCCTTTCACCTTTAGATCCCAGCTTTTTTTCCTTGTTGCCATTTGGACTTTCTGACCTCTGCTGCTTTCTGCAAAATCCAAGATTTTCCATTTTTGTGCTACCAGTTTGTGATATGTAGAGGATACTGAAAATGCTCCATTGGTACCACTATCCCACACTAATCTGTCAGATGCTGAGGGGTCTAGTCCTTTGATGTTAAGAATTGCCTGAGCTTCATTGTCATTGAAGGTTGCTTGAATAAGCTGAGTGTTCCAGTGTCTTCCTGAGTGGTCAATCAAATCTTTCACCCAAATGAGATGAGCTACTGTGTCAGGCTGAGGTGATGAGAGTTTAAAGCCTGGCAAGGTTGGAATCCATGGAAAACCTCATATCTTCACTGATTTCCCATCCTTGATTTTATATCTTGCCCCTTCCTGCATGGAGTCTCTAACTTCAATTCAGCTATTCCACATCCATGATCCGTTTTTCTTTTTTGCCACAGTAAATAAGCTCTCATTTGGATAGTATTTAGCTCTTAGAACTGTGCTGACTAACAGGTTTGGTCTTGTCATAAGCCTCCACAGTTGCTTAGATATGAGTGCCCTGTTGAATAGCAGAATGTCCTTGAAACCAAGACCTCCTTTATCTTTGGGAAGAGTGAGGTAAGTCTATGATTTCCAGTGAATTCCCTTGTTCTGTGCAGATTTCCACCAGAATTTGGCAAAGCTTTGAGATATGCTCTGGCACAAGGTTTTGGGAAGCAAGAAACACGACATAGCATACAAGGGCAGGGCTGAAAGGACTGATTTGAGCCAGCTCTCTTTACCTGCAAGTGAGAGATATCTATTCTTCCAAGAAGATACTTTGTTAGCAACTCTTTTCTGGATAAATTAAAATGTCTGAATTTTAGAGTGCCCAATCCCCAAGGGCAGCCCCAAATACCTCACTGAGTTATGATAAGTAATGCCCAACAGAATATCACAAATTTGGCTTTTGATGTGGGTAGGGGTGTTTTTGCTAAAAAAGATTGTGGATTTTTGCAGGTTTATTTGCTGTCCAGAGCTTTTTCTGTATTGGTCTAGGATGTGCAAGATCAGGTGTGCTTGTTTTTCATTTGCTTGCCCAAAAAGTAAAGTATCATCAGCAAAAAACAGGTGGGTTAGAGTGGGACCATTCCTGCAGAGTTTAAGCCCTTTGAAAGTACCCAAATAACACTAGATTTGATAAGGTTAGAGAGAATCTTAGATATTAAAATGAAGATATAAAATTATGAAGAGCCTCATTGTGACACTTGTGTTCATCTTGCTTATATTATCTCCACTACCCACGCCATGTGGAGCTGCTCGACGGACGCCTAAAGGTATATAGATTATACGTTCACATTTGAAGGTACCCTTTTTCTTTTAAAGGAAAAAAAANAAACGAAGCCTTAATTAGTTGCTTGCTTAAACAGAGGATGATGAATAAATTATCAAAATTATATGAATATTAAGTATTTGGCCGCGTGCTATGTTGAGTTATTATGTTGAGTAAAAGAAAGAGGATAAAAGTGAGCACTAGAGTATCAATTTAGTTTCATGCTTATAACTTTGTGCATAGTCCACTTTGCTTTCTGCACTTTCCTTTCCCTTTATAAATTGTGTTAATTCCTGCGTTGAAAGCATTCTCTCGCTTCATCGCCATTAATCACCAACCTTTATGCTCGCCCATAACCGATCGCTCTTGATACTAGCAGTGAGACATACTATATTCTCCAAGAATGTGATGCAGACCACATGTCAATCTATCGTGTATCATTAATATCCCTTTCTTAATGATCATCGATTTAGGCGATTTTAGAGTTATACTTTAACATCTCACTCTGTTAATGACAGTGTCAACTCAAGGGAGCAATTAATTAATAAATTGCAAACAATCAAACAATTATTTAATTAATTGCAACACCATAATTATAATCTAATATAATTATTAATGTGATCACGTATATATGTCCTTAAAATATTGTCTCTAGGACACATATAGCAACACTGACTTCCTCAGCCCCATCCCTGTCCTCAGCCTCGGGTACACGTGGTTTTCTTTTTCGGCCTGCTGTGTACGATATTACTGATTTGATTGTGGCTGAGAGGGGATGAATGATTGTGGCTTTGCCGATTTGTCTCTGTATACAATGTTGTAGGATTTTGTTACTACTCAATTTGGGTTCTTCATACTTAGAACTGACCCGAGTCAAGCAACGTCCTTAGAATTACCTACTTTAAATTTTTCTGTTTTTCATCCATAATAGCTGTAATTACTGGTTTGGGGGGTGCTTGGAGGATTCAGGGTTTGCATATTTTGGTTTGCATTGGTTTTACTTTTATCATGTATGTATGTAAACTGGCTATTTTTGGTCGAGGGTTCAAAACTGATAAGAACATTCACTTAATTAATCCCTAGTTTTTTCATGCATTTTTGTGTGGTTTGAGTGAATTATATAAATAAGTATGATATGATTTTGCTGTACTCATTCTATAAATTCACTCCATGTACGTATATTTCCTTTGATTTTACTGAATGAATGAGCTAAGAAAAATTCCTAATTGAGCTGTGCAATTTTATGAGAAAATAGATATTGCTAGGAATAATTGTTATTCGTGATGAACACATGGATACTTTAGAGAGTATTGACATACCCTACCGATAAACCATTTGTTTATGTGTCTATGGGAGTATCAGTGTGTGGAATGGTGTAATAGTCCTTTGACTTGAGGTCAATACGCAATTCATGTATAGAGTGATTTACTTAGACCTAGTCCAACGCTTACGCCCTTATGGGTAGACACGGGCTTGTGTTGGGTAGATCACAATATACATGGAATTGGTAGTTGGGCCAAGATAGGATTCATTCCTCGAATATAGTTTCGAGAGAACACTCATTTTCTCTATACTGGGTTGATAAAATCATTGGCCAATACACATGATTTTATTTGAAATGGTGTTCAAATATAATTAATTAAAATCAACTAGTAAGATGAGATAAAATGATAAAGCTGTTTGTATAGACACACTTTCAAATCCTACGCTTAATCGAGTGGTTCGTGAATGAAGGGACCGTATCACTATTGAGTTCTACACGAAAGGTTTGTTTGCTTGTCCATGTAAATGTACTTCATATTTTGAGTTCGTCATTCGACGCAGTCTAAGAGTTTCGTAAGGATCATAAATTAGATTTATGTCAATATATGAAGGCCTATAGGTTCACACAATAAGCAATCAGTTTTCCGGCTAAGAGTGAATCGAGAGTGTTAAATATTCAATTGGATTGGAATATTTATTTATGAGTAATGAAATTATTTTCTATTTGATAGAAAATATTTAATTAAGTTAAATTAGATTAGATTTATACTTAATTAAATTATTATTGGATTAGGTTCAATTACCTATTGGGCCATAGGATCTCCTACGGCCCATATAATTAGGTTTGACCTAATTATAAATAGGTCATTATCTCATTGTAGTCTTCAACGATCATTAGATGAGAGAAGACAAATACATCGTCAAATAAAACACTCTCTAGTTTTCTGGATGAGGATTCCTAGCTTCTTCACCAGAAGGGATTCATTGGCGTTAGATCGTGTATCAAGAAACTGGATTGCGTGGATACCATAGTCGAGGACAAACGACGAATAATGTAAGTTTTCGTGTATCATTCACGCAATCTAGGATCATATCGAATAGCTGTAGCCGGATCTTCATTGTTGGTAAGAAAATTTTTAAAATTCCGCTGCGCCTACGGTTGATTCTTACGTCTAAAATCCAACAGTCAGGATGAAGCGGACAGCGTTGAGTGGAGGCGATAGCACTGCCGGAGGTCTGAAGGCGGTAGAAAGGGGGCCGCAGGGGAAAGCTTCACCGTATGAGGTGCAGATCTGAGGGCCGCCATCACTGTTAGTTTAAATTGATACTATAAAAAAATTAAAATAAATAATTAACTATGAATTTTTTTTGTTGTACACGTCATTATACATTTGACGATTGTTTCTCTCTATATAATAATATTTTTATTTTTTGTTTTAAGATTATAAGTATAACTGGTTATAATCGAAATTTTCAATTAATAGTACTTTACATATTAAACTAGTACATTATTGTGACACATTGCTTCATAAGCATGACTCACGACATAATTATATAGTTCTATACTTTTTTTAAAACAAAGACCACTTTAATGTATATCAGTCTTGGGCGATTTTTAGTTGATTTTTTTTAGTTAATTATTTAAGATTTTTTTTTTTATAATATAACCGTTGAACGCATACGCATTAGTGGGACAGACACGCCCTCAGTAACCGACGGACCGTTTTATAACCGCCGCACCGTTCCACGCTTAGAGTCGAGTAAGCACCTTCTTTTTGGCAAAGGGGTATGATCTCGTAGTAACGGGAGAGACCTCGGAATAGAACAGATTGAAATGATTTGACATCAAAACCACAACTGCTCGTGTGCCCTTTAATGCCAGGGGCTTCTATGTTGACATCCAATTCTTAATCATCCGCTAAAGACGTGCCACGAAGACAGGCTAATAAAGGCCGAGATTAACGGCGTGATAGAGAGAGCGGGACGACCTCGGACGCCGCGAGCGCCGACTTCCTCTTATAAGCGGTTGAACGACATCAGCACCCCGACCGAAAAGTAACACCCGTCCATCAACTAACAGATAGCCCATGCCCTCATCATTGTTTGCGGGCCCACCTGTAGAGTAGCTGACCCTATGCCGTCAACTCGCATTAAATGACGCCGAATCTCCTCAAAAGACGAGCCGAATGTTACTATAAATAGCCGCATTAAACTCAATACGATGATCTTTTTCACGCGCATTGAATTCAAGCATTAAACATCTCGGTTCCATTGAAAAGCGGCTTCTTGTACTACAAAACCGACTTGAAAACAGTCAATAAAAATCCTATTTTCTGCGAATTACCTCGTTCAATATATATTAATAAGGTTGTTAGATTTCGTATATCAACAATGCCTATTTATAAACTTCCTTCTCTTTATTAATATATAGATTTTCATTGCTATATAGTACTTTAAATAAAAAAATATATTAAAAAAATCATTATTAAATATTTTAGATATTTTAAAATACACAGTGTCTAAACTAATTAATATAATAATTTATGCATATTTATAATATTTAAATATGTATTTTATTTATATTACAAATATATTTAATAATTTTAAAATTAATCTTATACCGACCAATTTTTGATTAGTTCGATCCAAACCAATTTGTTGAAGAAAACCGAACCTATGAGGGACCCGTACCCAGTCCAACCACTAGTCCGGTCCGATTTTACAACCATGGTATCACATCAATATTATTTCGGATGTACATATAGCATCCACGAAACGCGCATTTTATTCTAGATATACAAACATTACAACAATTTGCCTTGCTCTGCGAGCAAGAACACATTACCTAAAACCAGCAAGCATAACAACGCAAGTACACAACCTAAGCTAAATTCATTAACAACATCGATTTCTCTTGTTCCAAGCACTTAATTCATACGAGTTCACATATCATGAACAAAGCCATGGCCTCCTTCTGGTACACATGCAGGGATAATAGCATGAGGAATATGGACGAATGCAATGGTATGTGGATTAACCGTTATGGGCTTCAAGTCATCTACTTTCTTGGGACTCAGTGCAGGTATAGCACCGCTTGGGCCGACAAATAGTGGCCTCCCGTTGAGCAAAACGGTCCGGCTCTGCAAGTTTCCATCCATTGGGCTCAGGTGGTATTCTTCTCTGTATGCTTGTTCACGATAATAAGGAGCCCACGACTCTTTGAGTCCATTAGCCAGTTCGACCTTCGTCTTGATTATGGTACTTCCACTTAGGTTTATCAGAAGTATAATAATTCCATCCTGCGAAAATGTAGGTTGGCCAAATAAGTAAGGTTCTCCCCTTTGTCTCGTGTATCAAAACACAAAGTAAACGCACGCTTGAAATGAAACAGAACATATATATATATATATATATATATATATATATATATATATGAGGACCTAAAATCAAAATGCACCTTAATAAGGACTAGAAAAAACGATTTTGCCAAATACGTACGGATTGTTTTGCACAGTGGGCGTATGCACGGAGGTCCCTAGTCCCTTTATATCTTGTCGACAGAACGTGTTTCCCCATCAAACGGTGCCAAAGAAGTGCGCTGCAAAATGTGACCGACTAAGTGAATATCTGATCGTCGAACAACGACTTATAGTATTTTTCTTGATAAAATGCAACCTGAACTTTATGAACAAGTGTCCATTACAGTTATGTCGGTGCAAATGACTTCCGATATGAAATTGACATAACTTTATAACAACATGCATATGCATATCATCGTATAAAAAAAGTATACGCACATGTACAAGAATATTGCTATGAATGAAAAATCTCAAACCTGTAGTAATCTGGATTCGGGATAAAGGTGGTGGTGTCGAGCAAGGCATAGTTAGCGCCAATCAAAGACTGCCTGCAGTACACCTTGGTGTCGTAAACGGCTGCAGTCGCCATGTGGTCCAAATACCTATTTTTCGTTTGTTCACAAGCAGCGAATTAAAAAAATAAAAATAAAAAATAAATAAATAAACTTGTTTTAGTTAATCCGATCGTGTCTAAATTAAATAAACGAGACACGAGCTTTATATATGCAGCTAGACGTGGTTTACCAGAAACTGAAGAGGAACGTGTTAGTGATACCATCACGGCCGCTGTTGAATACGCCTCCCGATTCTCCAATCCAAGCGACCGTCTTTGTTGGGGATAGCCGGATAAGGTCACGCATACCCCTAAACACTTCGGCCCCCTCGTCAAGAACACTTGCATTCAGGATTTTGTACTTGAGGTTATCGTCGAACCCTACAGAATTAAAAAATTAAAATTTAATAAATAAAAACTATTTCTTTAATCCCAAATTTCTAGAGTAGTTTCTGGTAGTAAGGGTAATTGTGTCATTACACAGAAAAAATGACTGTTATTTCATATTTCCACAAAAAGTGATCATATGGCCTATTTAGTGATATTTTCACTAAAATATTATCCCGTTTTAATGTACCTGAGCCGAGAGGGTACGTGTGTTGGGTGATGATGCCCGGTGGTCTAGTCGCATTGGTTATGTACTTTTTGAACCATTCGTATTCGAATGTCCCTCCAGGAGCAATGATGGCCGGAGTATCAGTCCCGCTCTTTGTGCCGTAAATGCGTTTTATTACCTCTTGAAGACGAGCCATATCGGCTACATATTGTTCAGCTTCTACTTTCACCCTTTCTACTGGTTTTCCTCCCAATGCATTCCCTATTTAAAAACTAAAATAAAAAAATACATCTTTCTCTATAAAGAAATTAAGAAACAAAAAACAGTGCATTGATACAAAAATTCAAAAAAAAATTCCAACATTTTTAAGTCAATCACTTTTTTACCTCAGCTATACTTTCATCAATATTATCAATATAATTAAATAATATCAATCAATCATTTTTACACACAACCTCAACTTCAATTCACTATTCATCAATTCACATAATTTTAACTAACAATCACTTCACATCATCTCTCTCTTCCTTTTACATCAAATCAACTTTAGTATTTTATTTTAAATATTATTTAAGTATACTCACTGACAATTACTCATACGACTTTTTTCAAAATTAACCAAACTAAACCAAAAATCAAAACAAAACCAAAAAATTTCATATCCAAAACATCCTACGCATTTCTTACCAAGCTCCCAACCATATATGTAATAATCTTTCTCGTGAGTGTAACGAATAAGTTCTTCGGAATTGGTGGGGTCCCAAGAACCGGTGGTAATGGCCGGGTCCGAAGAAGTAGGAGGTCTTGGATGTGGCAGTATTACCTTTCCGGCAAGAAGATTGAGTCCGAAAATCGGGATAGCCCTGAATAACGAGGGAAAAAAAATGTGTTATAAATGTCTAACTTCATTCCAAAAAAAGTAGGCAATTATATATACCCTGTTCGATTGAGGAAGTAATGTATTTGATCCCATCTATCCAATGACAAACATCCCTCTGTGAAGTTGAACAAATAAGACGTGTTGAACGTGAAATCGGGGCATGGGGAGAGCTTGGTAGATTGGTAGGTTAATCTGTCTTGTAGATTGCCTCCCATTCTTATCCTTANTCAAAGTCATGGATTATTTGAAACAAAAAGGTTATGGATGAATGAAATAGGCTAAATTGTAAATTTGGGACATAAACTATTTTAAGTCATGTAATTTGAAGTTTTGTTGTATTTTCACTTTTCGGTCATTTAGCCGTCAAAATTCTCAATTTTATATATTTGGGATAAATTTGATAATACTGTCAACACAATTAAAGAACTGAAACTGTGGCAAAATTTTAAAGATCAAAATTTAAATACTTATATATCACTCAAGTGAGACCTAAGTTGCCACCCTTTATAATGTAATAAGACCAAATTTGCAATTTAGCCGAATAAATAATAGAAAAAACTGAAACCTTCAACGGCATTGAAGAGGATTGGATTGTTGAGGTCCTGTGTAAGGAGAGAAAATATTAGCGGTGTATGTATATGTATAATAATGGTGACAGCATAACCATTGTCATTCTGGCTTTATATGTCATTAATCAAATAAATGTCGTTTTGAATTTTTTATACATATTTTTTCATTGTTCTCTTCATTTAACTAATATAATACACTTTTTGGGAAGAAAAATTGTAGAACACGATTAGTATTCTCTCTTAAAAAAATTGAAAAGAAAGAAATTAATTAATGTTAACTTCCTTTAAATAAGGTTAATATTAGAAAGAAAAAAATTCTTAATTTATGCGTCAAAGCACAAAACGACATTTAAAAAGAATATGAGAGAGTATATAAAAGTAAATGAATAAATAGTTATAATAACACACATATATATACCAGGGTTAGCAGAGAGGCGTTGACCCAGCCACAAACACCATAGTCACACTTAGTCGGCGGCCACAAGTCAAGAGTCATACATATGAAATGGGCATCAGTCTCAGCAATATGTTGTGCCGCGCCAATAAAAACCGTGCCCTGCTCGGTCACACGAATGGCCTCGGCACCACACGCGAAGCTCAAACAGATGACTATTACTACAGTACTCGAGAAAACGCGCCACTCATTCAAGGTAATTACCATCTTATTACAACTATTATACGACTTAGTCATGTTTATTGGGATGATTCTTGTTAGCACGAATGTGTTGCGGTATTTATACCCGAAAAGTGTAATATCAATTATTGAGTTCATTCCTATTCACGTGTGTTATAAACCAAAAGCGTGAGTGTCCCTCGGCCAGTGTACGTAGGCCCACTACACCGTAAATTGGCTTTAAGTAGCAAATAAAAAAATGACACCTAACGCACGGCTATAAAATAATGTTACACTTCTTCCAACTTTTGATAACATTTATTTGTGTTATATTACATAACTTACTGTAAGCATGGTAAATGGTATCTATGGTCTCTTTTTCTTAAGAGCATCACAATGCTTGGGTTCAATCCCAAAAAATTATATGACACCTAAGAAATAGACCTAGTCTAAATAAGTATATTCTCCAACGCAAATAAAAGTAGTCTGGGTCCTGTTGATGTAGCAGTCAGAAAAAGGGACTCGGTCTCCCCTAAGTCTATTTTAGACTCAAGTAAAGACCTAATCTCTTTGCATTGGAATAGATTTTGTTAATTTTGAATAGTTTTATCCATGTCATTCAAGACTTGAGTTTATTTACATGCCACATAGACAAGACTAGACCCAATACATTATAAATGCTCTAATGAAATGTTTTATAACACATGACCCTTCCACATCATATCCACTTGCTTACATGGACAAAAAGTCAAGGAGCTAGTGGTATCAGAACCACGGTTTGCATCTTTAAAATCAGATTATGATTTGTTTATGTTTATATAATAAACATATTTAATTGTTATATTATACTAGTCCAATACCCGTGCATTATATAAATTATATAAACATATTTAATTGTTACATTATATAAATTTATAATTTATATAATCTTTTAAATTTTGATTTGATTTATTCATATGTAGTGTCTATATATATTAGGCCTATTAAATTTAACATATAACTCGGATTGGTGTGGTTGTTACAACCTAGAAACTTAAGGTCCCAAGTTTGAATGTCGTTAAATTTTTTTATCGCCATGTCAGTAGCCATGCCAACATAAAATCACTATGTCAGCAGCCACATCGACAGAAATTGCCATGTCAGCAACCACGTCAGCAGACAAAGCACGAAATGACACGCCAGCAGCCACACAAGCATAAAATCACCATGTCAGCAGCCACATCAACGGACAATGCCCGAAATTGGGCCCTGTAATTCGAATTGCCGACAAATAGTCAAAGTGGTGTTATATTTGCTAACTTCCAAAAGTTTGGTTAAAGCTGCAAAAAGTTGTAATATAATGTCGTGATATTACCAGCAATTAGGCCTTAAATAAACTCACTTAGTAATTTAAGTTGATGAGGTTTTGAGAATAAACCCTAAGTTTTTTAAACTTCGAAGGAATTTAATTCGATTAATTTCATATCAAATTATAATGGATAAAAATATGTTGGACCTATTAATCCATGCATTCCATCAAAGGTAGATAACATGACGATGTTCCGGTGCTTGGTCAGACCATGAGTTGTGGTGTGATTTTGTTCTGAAAGTTGTGATCTCTACCAAGCATTAAGATGCTCGTGAGATGGACTCGTCTCTATGTTGACCACGAGTGAGACACCTTGACGCGCCATTATCACGAAGGTTTGATGTGTTTAATTTGATACTTAGTATTATATGGGCTCATAAAATTAGGGCGTATAGGAAGGTGAGGCAAAATAATCTTGAAGGTTGTATGTTGATGCAATTGTCAAAAGTTGACTACCAATACAAACATTTAATGACTCTCATAAAATTGGGATTGAAATAATTATATTGGGCTTCAAACCCACTATGAAAGTTTGATTTTAAACTTTTATGGGGTTTAATTAAAATAGTAATAGACATTTAATATTAAAGACCTTATATTAAATGAATATATTTTCCATACTAGTCTACACATTTTCTATTTGGTTCATTTTTTTGTAGATCGTTCTACTAAAATGACTAAAAATCTAATTGCATGTACTTTTTAGCAAAACAAATTGACTGACCTGATTTTTGTTGATTGGCCGAGAAACCTGAAAAAGTCCTTCAATCTGAAAAGAGGGACTATGTGCTTGACAGATCACCTTATTCTCCTACTGAGAGTCAGTCGATGTTTGTTGTTGGGTCCCCTTCTGGATCAAAGGCTTTAATGTCTAAGAACAAGAAAGGGAAGGGAAAGGTTCCCTATAAGCCCACAAGAAGGCAACGGACAATGAAGTGAAGGACAAAGGAAAGAAAAAGGTTAATTTCAGGCCAATCACGAGTGTTTCCATTGTGACAGATCAGTGCACTGGAAGAGAAATTGCAAAAATATCTTGCAAGCCTGAAGCGTTCAGGTGTTTATTTTGTTGAAGTTAGCTTATCAGTTAATGATGCTTCTTGGTTATTAGATACCAGATATGGTTCACATATTTGCAATGATTTGCAAATGATGGCAAGAAGTAATNGAAGAAGAAGCTGGACAGTAAGGAAACGGTCCTTAGGATGGGCAATGGAGCAAAAGTTGTTGCACTCGCTATAGGGACTGTTTATCCAGCTTTAAATAATGGTGTGAGTTTGTGTTTGAACAATTATCATTATGTTCAGGATATTATAAGAAACATTATTTCTATTACAGTTTTGGATAGAGAGAGTTTTAAGTTTGTTATTGAGAATAGAAGTTGTTCTATTTTCAAAGATACTGCTTTTATATATTCCGGTCATTTGACAAATGATTTATACACTGTTAAACCCCAGAGTCACATCCTAACCATTCAACAAAACAAAAAAAAATTAGATAATCATAGTTCGTTTGCACTTTGGCATGCTAGATTGAATCAGATTTATGAAAATAGGATTCACAAATTGGGACCAAAACTCGACCTTAGGGGAGAGGATAAGTTGCCTACATGTGAGTCATGTCTTAAAGAAAAAATGACAAAATCACCATTTGTTGGAAAAGTGGAGAGAGCTAAAGGTCTGTTTGATTTGATTCATACAAATGTTTGTGGACCACTAAATGTTAGTGCAAGAGGGAACTATCACTACTTTATAACCTTTACCGATAATTTCTCTGGGTATGTTTTTATATATCTTTTGAGGTATAAATCTGAAGCCTTTGAAAAGTTTAAAGAATTTAGATGTGAGGTGGAGAAACAAAGTGATCGTAGTATTAAGGCTCTTCGATCAGATGGAGGATGTGAATATATAACCACTGAGTTTCGCGATTATTTAAAGGAGAATGGGATTCTCTCGCAGTGGACTCCTCCTGGTACTCCACAACTTAAATGGAGTCTTAGAAAGGAGGAATCGGACATTGTTGGACATGGTTTGATCAATTATGAGTTCCACTGCTTCACGTCTTTCATTATGGACCTATGCCATAAAAATGGCGGCACATCTATTGAATAGGGTGCCAATTAAAGCCATGCCTAACACACCTTATGAGGTGTAGTGTGGCAAAACACATTCGTACATGTATCTCAAAGTGTAGGGGCGTGCTTCTTATGTGAAGCGGCTAGTGGGAGATAAGTTGGATATAAGATCCATCTTATATAAATTTATGGGGTATCCAAGAGAGCCTATAGGATACTATTTCTATGACCCCTCTGAACAATAGGTGTTTATTTCGAGGAATGTCATTTTCTTAGAAGGAGAAATTCTCTCTGATTAGAATGGTGAGGTTGTATAACTTATTGAAGAACATGAACCACAAAGTATCCCACAAGTTGTCACGGATAACACACTAGTTGAGACTAGACCTTCTGAGGCACATTCTCTTCGAAAATCTGTAAGGGTTTCTAGGGCGCCTGAAAGGCTGAACTTATAATTAGAAAACAAAGAAGAGGGACTCCTTTGGAATAATGCTCCAACAAGCTATAAAGAGGTAATATCAGACATTGACTCAAATAAATGGCAAGAAGCTATGCAGTCCGAGATGGACTCCATGTACTCAAACAAGATATAGGCCTTGGTAGACCCACCACAACGTATCGTACCCATTGGTTGTAGATGGATTTACAAGCGGAAGCTTGGAGTAGATGGAGAGGTGAATACTTGTAAAGCACGTCTAGTTGCAAAAGGTTATACTAAAAAACAAGGCGTTGATTATGAGGAAACTTTTTCACCAATTGCAATACTTAAATCTATTCAGATCCTGCTAGCCATAGCTATGCATTATGACTACGAGATATGGCAAATGGATGTGAAGACTATTTTTCTTAATGAAAACATTAAGGAAGATATTTATATGAAACAACCACATGGCTTCATATCCAGTTAGAGCGAGCAAATGGTTTGCAAACTCTAGAGGTCCATTTATGGACTTAACAAGCCTCAAAGAGTTGGAACATTCAGTTTGATAAAACGATCAAAACGTTTGGTTTTCACAAAAACCCAGATGAACCATGTATTTATAAGAAGGTTAGTGAAAATGTAGTAGCATTTCTTATGCTTTATGTTGATGACATTCTGCTAATTGGGAATGATGTAGGAATGTTGCAATCAACAAAGATTTGGTTGTCTAAACAGTTTTCCATGAAATACTTGGGAAAAGCATCTTTTATCCTATGGATAAAGAGCTGTTGAGATAGATCTAGAAAGATGATCGGATTATCCCAGTAAATGTACATAATAAGGTACTAAAGCGGTTTAGCATGGAGGAATCCAAACGTAAATACCTTCCGATGAGTCATGGTAATTTGTAAAATAGTCCAAAACCATGACACAACTAGGCTTGATCCTTCGTCACGGGTCAGTTTGGCCAGATTATTGAAATAAATGCAAACTTTAATATTAGAAATACTATTACGATAAATGTAATGTAATCCAAGCTCCAAGAATAATTTTATGAGAATATGTTCATTGATTTATGAATACTTATATTTTTGAAAAAATCAAAGTTTCTCAAAATCAGATTATCATCAAACCAATCAGGTTATTTTATCTAAATATGTATTTTTATTCATATTAAAAATAATTTTTAAATATTACAATATTTATTAAAAAATCATATAAAACCTACAAGTTCGAGCGACCGGTGTTGTCCAAACAAACATTTCATTCAAGTAAACCGGATTGATCGATAAATTGGTTCACGGTCGACTCGATCGAACTATTCGACACATTCTGATTTTGAAAAATGACTAAATTCTAATTACTGTTATTTGTATATTTAAATTATAATTCAATCGTAAATTTTTTCATCCTGCATCGCACAAGCTACTCCCTAAATTCATCTTACTAATTTGATTTTGCTATAGTGCCATCGGATGACACGACTTATGGAATCATCCATAGTTATTCACAAATAGTGTGTTGACACATGTCTTACAATAAATACATACTAGACGCGTATCAGTACATCAAGTTATGGATGATGAGTCATCCGATAACTCATAGAATTTCTATTTATGGCAAACCCAACGAGCTCACAAATTATTTGACTGAAAACCTCTATTTTAAAAATCAGCCTACGCGGCCACCTAGGCGCTAGGTGCTGCCCGGCCGCCTCCAATTTGCATAAATCGGCTGAAAAAATCGGCCAGGCGGCTAGGCGGGCTCGGAGACCAGGCGGCTTGGCGGCACCTAGATGGGCTCAGCGGAAAATTTTCAATTCTTTTTTTATTTTTTTAAATACAATTACATTATTTTGTTATCATGGTTTCTTTATAATATACTAATATTATTATTTGGACTTAGGTGTATTGATTTATTAAATATTTTTATTTTGTAGGTAGCAAAAATAAATTAAAAATAAGATATTTAATCTTGATTTTTAAGTCTTGCCTTGGCGCTAGGCGTTGGTGGGGCGCTCAGAGGACGCCTAGCAACACTATGAAAACTGTGAGTGGTGGGCTCATCATCGTGTTATTTCACTCATCCTGGCCACAATGACGACCAGTAAAAATAAAATATCTCTTTGTTTACACAGGAAAACACGCACGTTTTTCTCCATTTTTATTGGCCAATCATTTCTCCATTTGTGTGTAGGCATATCTGATATTTTTGAAGTGAAAAAAAGCAGATCTATTCTTTCAATTTTTTTTTTTTTGTCAATTTCTCTCGGATGAGCCAGGCCGGGGCAGACCTGACCCGTGCGGGGCGGGGCACTGGGTGTAAAAGTTTGCCCCGTCACGGGACATGGGGCGGGGCGGGGCGGCGGGACAATGGTGCGGGGCGGGTCTGGGCCGTCAAATACCCGGCCCGACCTGGCCCATTGCCCTTGTGGATGACGGCCAATAAGCCTGAGATTGGTATTTTTTAAAATATTTTTATTATATTTAATATTACTATTTTTTTCCTTTGGTAGTATAATTATGTGCAGAATTAACCGCATTGTTATATTTTGCTTACAATTAGATTTTGTTATTATTTATTTAATTTGATTCTTTTATGGAGATTAACAGGAACGCAAGTGGAGGAAAAGAAGACTACTGGGAAATCTGAAAAAGAATTGACCCTTGACGGAGGATTTGGGGTGCCAAATGTCAATTTGTTTGGCCATAACTTTAGGTCTTTAATCTTTATTCCTCTCCGAATGATTTAAACAATGACAGAAATTGAATCTCTAAACGTATTTATATTTTTATTGTAAAATCATTTGTCCAATAAATAACTAATAACTAATAAAGTGATAACTATTTGAAATGACACACATATTTTATCCTCAAAATGTTAAAAATGATAACTATTTTAATTACATTCATCATATTTTCTAATTAATAATATTTGATCATTTAAAATATAAATTAATTTTATTTATTTCATATTCTAGGACTTTATAAATAATGATTAATAATTTTATTAATTTACGTTTGATATTTACTCATACCTTTTTTTCAATCATTTGTATACTTTATTATATGCATAAGTTTTAGAATTTGTTTATATTTATTCTACTAGTACATATTTCGTGTCATACATGATGAATAAATAGTAAAATTAATTAGATGTTAGGTTATATTAACATATAAAGGTAGAGTCTAAAATCGTTGACCTATGTTTCCTCTTATTTCCATTCAGTTCAATTTTATTATTTGTTCTACAATTTGTAATAAATTTTCTAGATCCATATTCAAAAACCTTTTTTCTTCTTAATTTTTCTAAAATGTGAAGCAGGGATTATGAGGCTGAAAGTGAGAGGCAAGAAGGTGTGGAAATTCTCTACAAGACCAATCACATCTACCAAACTCTTGAGTTTGTAAGTAATTATTTAACCATATTATATGTTTTTTTTCTTTACTTTATTCCTAGTGCCGAATCCATGTGATGCATGGAATGAACAATTTTAAGGCTATTTATTCAGCTTTATTATTATATTCGTAAATAAAGAAAATTAAATAAATAGAATAAAGAAGATTATTATATTATTAAAAACGTCATTGTAGACAACATTTTTTGCCTTCTAGGCACACTATTTTCCCCGCAAACTAATATTTTTAAGCCTTTTTTATTAAAGACACGAAAAAAAACTACATACAACTGGCCGTGACTGATCAAAGGCTTCTTCAAGAACATGCTAACATGCGATAAAGACTAACTATGGCTCTTGTTAATCGTCATTGCATAAGAAACCATTAAGGAAAACTGCCTCCGTTGAAATTTGAACGGTACTCTAATGTCAGAAGGTGTTAAAGTCATCTGAGGTATCAACACTTGTGAGTGGAGAGCTTTGTGACAACCAATCTTTGTACTATTGCACAACCCTATAGAATGTTCAATGTTCCACCGCGGCATGATTGGGGTTCATATCTTAAGATTCAACTCATGATTCAGCACTCCAAAACATCTGGCAGTATTAAAAAACTCGGGGGTGTGGTGATCGGACAAAAACTCATTATTGGAATTAGATTTGCACGTATTATTAGAGCTCAAGTATGTTTGACCACCATTTACGTTCAAAGACTTCATGTACTCATTAATAGATTGAACCACTTCCAACGTTGGGGTTATTATAGTCCTATCTTTCAATGGGATCATCGCTTGCTCGCTATCCAATTTAGCAAAAGCAGTCAGCTCCTTTCTATTCATCCGAATCACCAATGCTCTGAAGGCGCATATTTTTTGTAAGCCTCGACATAGTACATTCATCCCATATGTCGGAAGAATTAATTGCATCATTCACAATATCCTGATGACTCCCTTTGAAATAACCACGAGGATCTATCGGAAGTCCTCATTGTGAAATAGGATTTTCAAGTAATTATTGTATCTAGCTTCAAATTTGTGTTCAATTATTAGAATCGTACGCAGCTTCATGGGTAGCTTCTTAGTTATAGTGACATTCTCGATCAAACCGAATGTGCACTTCATGTTGAATTGAATTCAGTAAGTATAAATCGTATAATTGTGTAATAGCAAATTAAAGTTAAAAGCAGGATGGGTAGAAAACATCGATCTATACTGATTTTATAGGGGAAGAAGAACATAGTATAGTTTCAGATCAATTCTATAAATATTTGACATGAATAAATTTTAACAAAGGCAATAAATTGTCTATGATTCGTGTCAATTTTTAAACGTTTGCAAATAACACTTATTCTGTTTTGTAATGACAAGGCTTTACTCTATGTAATTCATACGTTTTTTTGTTCATTTTATTTATATATTGCAAATTAATTAATTGGTGATTTGCAGTGTGGTTATATAATTTTGATTTTGAGATTTTTTTTAATTATATTTTGGATATTTGCTAATCAATTAATAATTTTATTATATCAGGTATATTGAATTAAATCGACTATATCGATTTTTTTTTATGTAGATCCCGCGTATTTTTTTATTGTTTCATCAATTTGGCAACTGTGAAAAAAAAATTGTGAAAGTTTTTTGTTAAAGAATGATTAATACGTTATATACAATGTCTTTTATAGAAGATCTTATTTGAATTTTGACTTCCACTCCAATAATTTATATCATAAAATATCGGTTGTATTATTATTCAGATTTCTCATAGATAAAATTATAGAATCCAAAGTTTGCCAAAAAATAAAAAATAAAAATGGAGACACACATTTATTTAAAATAATCAATCATATTATTGTTCACATTTTTTATACCAAAAAAGTTCGAGACACGATTTATCATGCTAAAAAAATGAACAGTGCAGTTCACACAAAAACTTTATTTGAAATGTTGTAACAAAAAATATATTAAATCGAGACCCACTAATTAAACAAATAAATAAATTACCTGGGCATTTTTTCAATAATAAAACATCGAGACATGCACATTATATCAAAATATTCGTTCAAAATATTTTGTTGGAGTTACGGTAATTTATTATGCTAACTTCATACAAAAAATTGAATTAAAAATTGAGACCACTCTAAAAAAACCAATATGTTGGTCTGTGCATTTCAGACAAAAAGTATATCATATATTGATTAATTTCTCAATAATTTTCCTACAAAAAAAAATTATCAAATAACCCAAATAAATTTGCCTACTTTATACCATACATTGATTAATTTATTTCCAATAGAAACAACCATCAAGTACCAGAATTAAATTCGCCTCCTTTATACCATTTATTAATTAATTTATTTTTCATACAAGCAACCATCAAATACAAAAAATAAATTCACCCACTTTGTACCATATATTGGTTAATTTATTTTTAGATAGAGTAAATAGGATATTTTTTGCGGAAAACAGTTAATATTTTAAAAATAATCAAACTTATATATTGTAAATTTAATAATAAATTTCATTATTAGGTGAAGAAAATGAGGGAAGAATATGAAAAATTGGACAAAGTTGAAATGAGTATTTGGGAATGTTGCGAGCTGCTCAACAATGTTGTTGATGAGAGTGACCCTGATTTAGATGAGCCTCAAATTGAACATTTGCTACAAACTGCTGAGGCTCTAAGAAAAGATTATCCTAATGAGGATTGGCTTCATTTAACTGCCCTTATTCATGGTAAATTATTTAATTTATTTCACAATTAATTATGAAAATTCTATTTACTAATTTTTATTGGATTATCCTAATTTGGTGCTTGGAATTGTGCGGTTTAGATCTTGGGAAGGTCCTCCTTCTCCCTGAATTTGGTGAGCTTCCACAATGGGCTGTTGTAGGTAAGCAATATGAAGATTATATATAATGGCCACGTTTTTAGGTCAAATTAGAAGGAATGTAATTTTAGTTATTTATAAATCAAAAAACCACTAATTATTAACTAAATACTTTGCAAAATCTATTAGTTCAATAACAAGTCAAATATACTTATTCAATGTAGGTGATACTTATCCTGTTGGTTGTGCTTTCGATGGCTCCATTGTGCATCACAAGGTCCTTATCTTAATTACTTAGTGTATTTAAATTTCATCAAATTAAAAAATGAATTATTGAATTAAATGCTGATTATTACAAGGTTATAAGTCTGAAAACATAAATTTTATTATAGTATTTCGAGGAAAATCCCGACTACTATATTCCAGCTTGTAATACCAAATTTGGAGTTTACGAGGAAGGGTGTGGACTGGACAATGTGTTCATGTCGTGGGGCCATGATGATTACATGTATCTGGTATGGTTTTTATTTAAATCATTTCTTAGAATTCATATATTTTTTTAACTATTTAAAATTTGTGGATGAAAAAAAAAAAATTCAATGGACAAATTGAAAATTATACCCAGTGATTTTGGACAAACGATAATTTTATTTAGTAATTTTGTGATTGCACAAAATCTGTTTCTAACAAATAAAAGCACAACATGTTAAAAAATTCAAAATTCAGACAAAAATTACGTACTCACTATCTAATTGCAAAAAGTTGCAAAACTTCCTGCTTAGTCTTGTATTTTGGACACAAATGCTCTTAATTTGATTACTTAGTAGACGTTTTGTGCAATTGCGACAATTACTATGTCAAATTGTTATTTGCCTCGAATTGTCTCGAATTATTGGTTTTCCTATACTAACTGGGAGAATACTAATCTTATCTTCATGAATTTGGTACTCCAGCATTGCATAGATCAGGAGCCTACAACCACTTGATGAACGAGGAAGACAAAGAAAATTTGAAGTGGCTTAAAATCTTTAGGTAATCTTTTAACCATTTATGATTTATAAGCTTTTTATTTATTTATTATTATTTATGCAATCCACTCATTTACTCATTGATTGTAATTTTTTTTTTTTTTGGTAGCAAGTATGACTTATACAGTAAGAGCAAGATTCGGGTTGATGTGGAGAAAATGAAACCCTATTACCTTTCTCTCATTGAAAAGGTAAAATGTGCAAGAATATTGTACTAGGAAAAATTGCAGTTTTAATTCAATAACTTAGATCGTCTATTATTTTCGTTCCGTAATTTAGTCGTTTCCAAAATTGGTCCAAAAACCCTTATAATTTAGCCAATTTAGTCATATTTTGACCCCGATCGCCGGAATCCGATCAGAAGTTGCGGAACTGGCATTTCGACACCGACTAGGTTGTTGTGGACTGATTTTCGGCAGATTAACTGCTATGGATACTTTATTTGTTTTTCACGTAATTTTTCCTTAAATTATTTTAATATTAAGATTAAAAAATTCACCTCCCTCAGCACCTCCAAAACCGTTTGATTGCTCCCCCAATCACCGCCACCTTCCCAAGCACATTGTCGACGAAACACGCTCTGCTCGACCTCTCTGGCGCCTTCCCACTGAGAATCTCGAAGCTCAGTTGACTGTTAAATTTATCGAAATCCTAAATCTTGATCTTGTGAATTTCTGTTAACTGGTAAGGGTTTGATGGGATTTCACGACCGGGTGCCGCAGCGAGTACTTGAGGATGAATTTTGGGGCGATCGCTGGTAGATTTGGACCCTCATTGGCCACAGTTGAGCTCCGCGCATGAGGTGTTTGACGATTTTTCTGTGTGGGGAACTGTCGGTGCAATGGAGAAGAACGCGACATTGGACATGGAGAAATGGAAGGTCCTCGAGACGCGGAAGTTGGTGGTCTCGATCTGGATTTCTCGACATTCTTCATGGGGACCTACGGTTGCAGGCGAATTTTAATATTAGAATTAAAATAATTTAAGAAAAAATTACGTTAGAAACAATGAAAGTTTCCACATCAGTTAATCTGTCGGAAATCAGTCAACATCAGCTGAGTCGATACTTAAATTTGTCATCTCAACAACTTCTGATTGGATTTTGGCGATCTGGTCATAATAGGACTAAATTGACTAAACTTTAAGAGTTTTTGGATCAATTTCGGATCCGAATAAATTACGAGACGGAAATTATTAATGATATTGTTAGACATACATGCATGATCGGTAAACAACAATAATTATTCAAAATAATTTCAAATTATAAGTTTATATATAAAATATGGCTTGTCAACTATTGAGCAATTGGTTTAACAACATTTGTGATCTTAATTCAAGTTCTCAATTTTTGGAGCCTAAATTTTTTGTTTCTCCATTTTGTGGGCAGTATTTCCCTGAAAAGCTAAGATGGTGAAATCTTCATGGGGTGGATGCTTAAGGAGAGAGTAAGTGTGTTTGCCAGCGTGTTATGATGAGTGATTTAAAAAAAAATGGAACTTTGAAGGTAGGTTGTATGAATTTGCCACATAGTTATGTATTTCGTCCTTTGCGAGTGTATTATCTGGAATTTAAAAACAATGGAACTTTGAATCTTTTCTTGTTTTCAACTTTTTTCTAGTATGTAACATTATATTAGAATTAATAAAAAGCCTAATCAACTTTAATTGTTATAAGAAATTATGGAAATATGCTGGGTGGTGGGGGTTATCTCGTGCATCTAGAGAAGGGACTTCATTTTCTTATTCTTAGATATTCTATCGAAAGGTCGAGAGATGGACTTTGGGCAATTTGCAGTTGAAATGTGGCTTGTTTGACACGAACGCAACCGCCTTCGTCAGAAATTAAAAGCAAACAACCAGGATTAAGTTTGGGAATGAAATTGACTACGCTCAATCGGACTTGCTTGATAATGGCCAGAAACAAAGCCGTGATCTTTACTGCTAGAAAAGACGGTGAACGTGCAAAAACGGGTGGACTCCTTTGTGTGATGCAGCAATCTGGGATACATATATTGGACTTGGGGGATGGATTCGGGGCTCGGATGGCATTTGTCAGGCTGCTTTTATTACATATATTTGGGGCTCCTTTTCTCCTCTATTAGCGGAACGTTTGGCTATTCGTTTTGGCTTATGTTTTGCCCGGGATTCTGACTTCAAGCTTCAGGGGGTTTTGAGGATTCCTTAGGTGTTGTAGGAGGACTCATTCAAATGGAAGCCTGCGACCCTCTTCTTGAGGTATTTTCTGATATACGGGAACTGCTTTCAATCCTGGATTGCAATATGTGCGGACATATTCTTCGAACGGATAGTCAAATTGCTCATAAAATTGTAAATTGGGCGACAGTATCAATTTCCTCTTGTTTCTCGAAGGATTTCCTTCCTATTACATTTTCTCCTTTGTTAGGGATGTATTAAACTCTTAATTTGCTTCAATGCATTGTTATATATTTCAAAAAAAAAAAAACTTTAATTGTTATAATGTGTAAGTGTTTTTTTTTTCAAACGATAACAATATTAATAACTTAAAAACTCTTTAGAGTATAACATTTTTTTAAAAAAAAGATTACGTGCTCTCCCAATATTCATGTATTTTTATATGTTATTTAAAAGCTCTCGTTTTTTTCTACCTTTTTCCTTTTGCGAAAAGAAATAAAATAAATCTCCTCTCTCAATTTCTATTCCAAATACTAATTGAAGTACGGGACAATTCTACTAGAAAAAAAATTGTTCTTGGAGTCTGGAATCCTAAAGGTGGACTCGATTGGAGGGGATACACGTAGATCCCAACGGCAGACACACAAAGATGGTGATAGTCACATAACCGGGAATCGATTCACTCTCTGTCGTCGGTTTACGAAGAAAATTAAAAGGTTTTCTTCCAGAAGCATGGGACAATTTCTTTGTCAAGTACCTATATCCATCTTTCTATCCAACTATCTTCTTGTTTGTTGCTGGCACAGTGGCCTACAGAGTTTTAAAGTACTTGCATAATGAAAGTTATAATAACGAAAACTAAAATTAGGCATGCAACGGTGAGACAATTTTATCTGATCAAAAGTGGTGGATATAGTTTTGCTTACACAGTTGCACTGTAACTTGTTTCTGAATTGGCTTTGTCTTGTATTGTCAATTCTCATCGGAATGAAAATTCATTTGTGCCCGAGTTTCCTTAAAAAAAAAAAATGACATCACTTGAACCAAAATAAGTCTATATCAACTCCCCTTGGATTACTGTTCGTAGTTTTTAGCCGAGTACGATCAAAAGATCGACCTCAGGTCTTGTCTCTCGAGGAAGGTTGTTCGGAGCTTTATTCACTATCTAGTCGTCAATTCATAAAAACTGAAAATAAGGTCCTAAATATGCTACTCGATTGATTGGGGATGATTTGGACGAAATTAAGCTAAGAGATTAAGAGCAAGAGATGAAGGCTACGAAATTTGAAAGAAAGATCGAAACTTTGATTGCACGGAGTATCCATAGCATGACGAAAATGAAATTAACGAAAAGAAAACATGCAAACCAAGTGATCCTAGGTAATCTAACACGAGCCTTCTTAACTAAATCATCACGCTTTAAGCAAAGTCAAGACCTTTACACAAGATAAGCACGTATCGCGTCCAACACACTTGAACAAGCAATGAAAATAAAGCAACGCCCTAAAATCGAGCATCAACACAAAATCCCGACCAAATCACAAACTCGAAGTAATAAACTCTAATCAAGGTACTCATCCTCCTATAGCAAGCTCAGACGAAAATAATGCGTAAAGATCAAATTTTAGATAAAAATAAAGTAGCCAGAAAAGTTACTTGAAAACTTGTCGGAAAATGTCAAGCTTGGACATCCCAACCAAAGTATAAAAATAAAAGAGAGAAAATACAAAGCACAATGTTTACTTATAGCTACACCACAAACACACACTAAAAACACACACACATTTAAAATTTCACATCGCCCAATTTCTGCCCAGGCGAAATTCTGTGCGAGTGCTCCAAGCCGTGAGCGACTATCAGTCCGCCTGGATGAATTCCGGGCGAGTGCTCCATGTGGCTTCGGGCGAATGTCAGTGCGCCTGGGCGAATTCCGGGCGATTGCTCCATGTGGCCTCGGGCGAATGTCAGTCCACCTGGGTGAATTCTGGGTGAGTGCTCCATGTGGCCACGGGTGAATGTTGGTTCACCTGGCGAAACCCAGGCGAGTGTTGGGGTTGCACGCGGGCCAGTGTCCTGGCCGTCGGGCGAACGCTGGGCGAGTGCTGGGGCGTGCGACATGGCACGGATCTTGACTCTAGAAGGGCCCGGTATGGCTCACAATAGACCGGACGGCTCGATAATGGTTCGGATGGATCTCGAGACAACTCGGTCGACTTAGTTGGCTCGAATAGCTCGTACGGCTCGTCTTCCCAAACTATCAATGATGGACCTATTCAATACAAAAAAGATAAGAAAAAAATACGGAAAAACACAAAACGAGAGCAAAAATACATGAAACACGATAAAATTGACCGGTCGACACTAAAATGAACTTATAAAGACTCAACTCGAGCACAAAAAATACACGAAAATAAGCATAAAAATACAATCAACAATTACACATATGACCAAAGAGGTACAAACTCCATCAAGGAGACAACCGCATAACAAAAAAACTCCATAAAGGAGACCCAAACTACATATATAAGACTAAACGTCAGACACAGC